ACACGGAAGACAAGCGGGCCTCTCTTCCCCCCCCCCCCCCCCCCGAAAATATGAGTTCAATCATTCCAGACTAGCCAAGGAAACTCAAATGTGATATGAAAGACTGTAGCTCATGACTTGAAGAATATATTGGGCTCTTACAGTCAGCATGCACAACCCTGCCACAGGCTACTACCTAATCATGGAGTCCAAAACCAAAAAGGACCACCATGGGTGTGTTGAGAGATCTCTGTAAAGTCCAGCCAGAGGAATTTTCTGACCTAAATACTGCTTAAAATAGAAAACCCTTTCAGGAAAAATATCTGCTCTCAATTTAACATGTACCAATAACAAGGAATACACATAAACTGTCCCATGGATTAATTATCTTCATCATTAAAATCTGATGACGAGTCTCAAAACGTCTTCTCAGCCCAATTCCTTCTGAATGAAACCTTTCCTGGAAATGGACGTTTGCTGGTAAAGATGTGTGCAATGAAGGAAATTCCAGTCATCTCTAGTCCAGTTATCCCCTTGTTCCTATCGTAGTTGCTACTACCTCTGCAGCTAGATCTCTGACCTTCATTAAGTATTCTCTCTATTTGCATCATGCTATCAACTCACAATTTATCCAGTTCCTTGAGGGAGTGCAGCAAAGTGCCACAAATGCCTGCTCCTTTAGTCAACTCCTTTCTTTTGCACCCACAGCTTCTTGGTGCAGGGGTAAGAGGAACACAGATTTTACCCAGGCAAATTTCAGGTGGAGGGTGTCTTTTAGCAGACCAAATGCCACCCAGAAGGATCTCCCATTGTGTCCTTAAAACAGCTGGTTTGGCTTTTCAGGATTTGCCTGTTGCTGGCAGTGCTACCTCATTAACAAATATTTTGGCAACCACATACTTGTACTCAGGGGGGAACATTCTCCTGTGACCCGTTCTAATAATGCAACCATGTCAAGACAGTCGCTGAGGCAGACCCAGTGCTGACAGACATGAAAGCTATGTTCAGTTTGCAAATATCTGCACTGTCCTGCCTGCCACCTAGAGCAGGTGAAGAAGACAATGGAGCTGAAAACATCCATCGCCTTTCCGCATTCCACTTTTAAAATGCTGCATCTGGGAGAGAAAAAATGCTGAGAATCTGGCAGAGCTTCTTGCTCCATGAAATAGACATTCCACATACATTTAGTTCATGACTTTCTTGTGCATACACAGAAGAAGCCAAAAGAACCCCTGCTTAATTACACTTTTTTCTGTGTGCTCCCTATGAGAGCATCTGGGGATGATCTCATAACCGAGATGGATGTGTCTTGCTCAGTGTCTCAGTGGGAAACCACACCTGAAATCTGTAAGCATAGCAGGAATGCTGTCAGCCATTCTTCATTGCCATCTGCAACAAAACTGTGCTAGATCCCCAGTCTAGCATGAGAGGTCCAAATAATTCCAGATATACAATTTTTCACATGTGATTACAGAAGAGGTCCCATAACGCTGAAGTGTTTTCCCATGCATGGTCATGAAAAAATTCCACATCAATTTCTTATATTTTGTTTATATGATGTTTCAGTTGCAATCAGTTTCTGTCACACTTTCCACTTGTTATGTGTATTATGTGCAGGGTTGTAAGCTTAAAAATTCCTCATGTTTCATCATAAAAATGGCTACACTTCAATAATAAGAGAATTTGTTTTCATGTGCATTTCTCCCTCCAGGGTTAACTGCCAAATACTTAAGACAAAACCTATATCCACTGTTCACACAGAAGAAAAGGACTTTGGGTGAGGAAAACCTGGGTAAAGAGTTCAAGTCTGGGACTTTGTAAAGGTCCTAAAGACATTATTTATGTGTTCAGTGGGATTTTTCAAAAGCAGTGACCTATCTCACTTTCACCTATTCACTTGTTTAGGCAACTAAACAGTTTGTAAAGTCTCAGAAGATGAGAGGCAGAACTGGAAAAAAAACCCCCAAATTTGATTTCTAAGCTATTTTGGTATGCATGACTGTAATCAAATGAACTTAAGGGCACTATGGGTTCTTTTCTGTCCTTCTGCTAGGAAAGCTGATTTCAGGTACTATTCAAATGTCCACTGTGAATGGCCAGGTAGATCAGTATATTCATGTTTTGGCAGCTTTGGGTAATACCAAGATTGCCCTCTTTCACTGTCCAAATATTATTTTTGTTACTGTTTAACATAGGCACCTTCTGTCTTTACATACTTGTTTTTTCTATTATTTACACCATAACTTTCCATTGCCTCTACAGGCATCAGATCACAGACCGTATTTACACAATGTATAGCATGTCACCTGAAGTCGAGAAAGGTCAAGACTTCCCCACCAAAACATTTTATTTTCCTTTTTTGTGGCTTACCTTATACACTCCACAGATTCTGGTCTTGATTTTAGATCCTGGTCTTTAGCAGCCACTCCAAAATGAATGGGGAACAATCCTCCAAGAATAATGTCTCCCTTCTTCTGTGCCCGTTGGTTTGGCCCATAGGCAGCAGTGTTCCAGGTAAATAGCAAAAGAATCAAGCAGCAGCTATATAAAGTCATTGTTCCTCTTTTCACCGGGGGGTTATAGGATGCAAATTTGGAAAAGATGATGTAATAAAGCAGATGTCGTAATATGTAAGATTTTCCTTTCCTTAATACAACACAGAGAGGATTTCGGACACATGTCTGCAGGGAGATAAGCAACAAGGTGGGAGCCACAGTGCTGGTGTTTCTCCCTCTGTCTTCCCCATTGCAAAAAACCAATTCAGCAGTCCTTCCTTCTTCATAACCAAAGCATTACGGAGAGCCCATCTCTGAGAACTGTAAAAGAAAGACATGAAAAGTGATCCCAGCTACACACCAGGGCCCCATGCTGCCATGGTGGTTCTGCTTTGTCAAATCAACCCCTCAGTATGGCCCCGAGGCTATGCCCACTCAACAACCCACCCAGGGCACATACCAGCCTTGACAGAGTATGCCAGGCATCCTGGTGATGCCACCCACACCTCCTCAAACAAGTGTCAGATGCCTAATTCTCTATCACATGTAAGGTGCGTTACTAAATATTCCTATGGTTCTGCATGACTCTGGTCACAGGAGACCTTGTAAAACTTGTGATCAGACCTCCATGAACAGAGTATGCTGTGAGAGATTTGGATGGGCAAGTGGGGAATAAGGAAGCATCAAATGCTGTAAGAATCAAAGCTTTCTCTTAAGCAAATAACTATGATAATCTTGCGGTGTTGGTCCATCCCCTCCTTTCCCTTGATCGTTCTTAACTCTCTGGTTTGAACTTATCCTTGCTAAAAATGAAACAAGGTCACAAGAAAGACTTCTTTCACATTGAAAGTGAGGATGACTTCCAGGGAAGCATTTGAAATCAAGATACTTCTCTGTAATCAATCATGAAGGCTTGAAACTTTCAGTGATCATGTCATTGCAAGCTTAGCTATAGAGCTTTGAAGCCTCCATTCTGGGGATGAGAAATATTGCAGCTTCTCTGTGCTCAGTGCATTTTCCCTGCAGCACATCTACAGGCCTGCCAAATGAAGAACTAACTTAATTATGGCATATGAAAATGGCTATAGCTATGGGGGAGGAGGTAGCACAAAAAAATCACAATAAACAGCTCTTCAGCCTATTTGGAACAGGTCTTAAAGCTAGTAGTAAAAATCTGAAGTTAGTCAAATTCAGAATAAAAGGTAGGCATAGGTTGATAATCCTGAGGACAGTTAATTTCTGAAGCAAGCCATCAAGAGTTTTCAAGTGCTGAGAACCTTTTTATGAGGATGACTTATTATGCACTAAACATGCCTGGGCAGATTTGACCTCTACCTAGGTCAAAAAAGGAACTACTGCAGGGAAACACTGTGATCATGGGGGTTCTTCTAGTAGTCAGCCTTAAAGATTATGCGTGCTGTATGACCACCAAGCATTTGGAAATATTTCATACATTTTTGTTAAAATGAAGGTCCAGATGCAGCAGTCAATGGGAGAAGAGAGATAAAGCTCACATCATTCTCATGCCTCTGTGGTCAACATACTTAGACAGCTGGGTAGACACTGCACTTCTCTGTGGCGGGTCCACTCTAAACTATTCTTTGGTCCTGGCTTGAACAAGCGCATTTTTATTGGCAAGGGCAATCAAATCTTTGGCTAGAGATCAAAATATGTCTAGGCAAACAATTTTCTACCAGGAAATGTGGAGTCACATGGAAAGATTTTGTAGGAACATACTGGTTTTCATATGAAAAAATATGTATTTCATGTTTGCAGCATCCAAGTGACTCAATCTAAAGTCAGAAACTCCCATTTTTGGCAAACTTGACTGCTAGTTCCCTACTCCTGAATGGGGATTTCAACACCATCCTCAAAATCTGAAACATGGACATGAAATGTCCAGCTGCTGCTGACACTGGCAGTCAGAAAACACTTTGGGATGTTCCTCTGGCAAGCCACTGGAGTTATGTCACACTGCTCTAGCCAGGATGCAATATCGTCTATCCCTTGTGAGCATGTTGTCTCAACATCTGACTGGTACCTTTTACTGAGGAGCCTCTGGTATTGGCATGTGGCCCTTTGACAGCAGGATGACAGAATTTTAACCAGAGCCAGGATTAGGAAGTGACAGAGCAGTGCAACAAGGGAGTGTCCCCAGGCTTTTGGGTTCTCATTTTTCCTGGTAGATGGATGGTGGTTCTTGCTTCTTCAGTGCCCAACAGAATAAGAAACTTGCCAAGTTTCAGCTAGGGAAAGGTTATCTTCCTCCCACCACTCACGGATTCAGAAAAGATATGAAAAAGTGTATCAGACATTTTTTAGACTGATGTTCTCTCTCTCCACCTGGCTGAGGCTAAGTCTGCCAGGTCCTATAGGATGAATTACTGAAAGTCAAACAATCATTGCAGTCAGCTGCAGACACTTTCCATTCTGTCCTGTTTCACAAAGTCCTCCTGCTATCTGATGCCCCATAGAAATATCTACAATCATCTACAGAATGGGTGTCTGGTCTTGTGGCAGGAAGAAAGACATGGACTGCCAGCTGCAGAAGAGAGCTTTACACCATGACCCACTGCCTCGACACATAGCTAGCCTTCCTCTACATACAGCCAGACAGATGGTGAATGTGCAGCAAGTCAAGTATAGCATGCATGCTGTCTACATCTGCTCACAGCCCACTCCCTGCCCCAGTGTGAGGACCAGCTAGGAAAGTTTCCACCCACATGGAGAACCTTAGCCAGAGCATCCCTGCCACTTCTCTGCCTGTCCTTTTTCCCAAGCACTGCTCAGATCAGGCAGCAAGGACACACATAGTCAAACTGTTCTACTATTGTCAGTCTATTCCTTGCTGCCATCTTCCCAAGGGCATCCTCCCAACACTGGGTGAACCGATAGCATGGGCTCCCTGAGAAGAAGAGGGGTCTGCTCCCCAGCTGAACCGCTTCACCTGTTTTGCAGTCTGCTCTTCAATCTCATCCAAAGGTGAGTAGGGCCCTCATGAATTGCCCTGGGGCCTGCAAACAGTCTGTGAGAGACTGGAGCTGACAAGTGAGGTCTGTCACATGAACTCTGGTCCAGCTGGTCCCAGTGTGAGTGACACATCCCAGTGGAGCAGGGTGCTCTGCCTTTGGTGCAGCTGATTGCACTTGCCTCCTTACCTGCTTCACTGATCTATCTCAGTAGATACAACTCCTGCTTAACCACCATTTCTGTCTGGCACAGGCATGAAAAGCTATGCTGAGAGCTTCTGTTCCTAGAAGCAACTATGAGCTGAACAAAATATTTTTACACTCATTTTGATTAGATTCTGTGCGTGTTCCAGAATGAGCAGTCACAAGAAAATCAATAACAACAGGCTAAAATTGGGTCCTCTTCTGGACGATTCAGTAAGAAACAGCAGCCAAAAAGTAAGTAAAATACTCTCCTGGGTAGCAAAATGAGATTAAAAACTGGGAAGTAATGCGGCAGTATTATTAAGTCAATTTAAATATGCTTACAGATAGTGCTGGTTCAGACACACCTGTCCCAGTGTAGCATATAGCACATATGAAAGCAGCTCAGAAAGCCAGCAAAAATTTGTGTGTCAAGGAGTCACTTCATGGTTAGAAAGGTTGGCACTGTTTAAATTAAGAGAGGATACGAAGGAAAGGGAAGAGCAGAAAAGATCTGATATGATAAACAGTACATGGAGCCTGATGTGACAGGCAAGAGCTCATGGCTGACACTTGAGGGCAAGGGGAAAGAACAACAACCTGGAGCTTTGGAGTATACCAACTATAGCTGGGAAACCAAGTATCTCAAACTCATTTAATAGGAGACACAGGTCTCCCAGCTGCTTTCAAGTGCTCTCCACGCCTGAGGTTGAATATATTTGAAGATACTGATTTCCTGATGAACAGTTATTAGCTTACTGCCAGTACCCCAAGATAATACCCTCTAGTATCATCTTTTGTTGTGGCAAATCTTCCTTCAGTTCTCTTTTCTTTAATTGGATTAAGATTATGAGCCTCTTCCTTATTAAAGGAAAGTATTATGCAGCCAAAGATTGAATTACCTGCTAATGCATGCCTGAAGACATAAAACTTAGCAAAATATAGGTGGAAATTGTACTACTAATAGAACAAATTAGTGTGGTCTTGCAGTTTTCAGCTAATAAATTAAAAAGATTAGATTATCAAGCAACTGAATTAAGAAGGAAGCTAGGAATCCATTGCTATTTTTTTCCCTTGCAAATATTTCTACATTTAAGACATTATTTAGTATTAGTGCATAAATTCTTTGATTATAAGTTCTTCAGTGCAGAACATGTTTTCTCTGTACATATATTCAGCAAATACAATTCCATCAGATTTCCTTTGCAAGAAAAATATAAAAAATAAGTATTGTCATTTCCAATTTTTTTAACACAGCCCTATTTTTAATCCCCCTCCCCTTTTTTAAAATATTCTTTAATATTTTTTTTCCACTCTGTTTTGTAACTATCAGACATTTTGATTTTGAACTTTCTTGGAACTGGAAGTAAAGTAGCAGCTATCTCACCTAAGCTTCAGTGGAGGAACTTAAAGTGGTTCCAGGAACAGGAGGAGACATCAGGACACTATTGTCATGGCAGAAACAGTACCTGAGGGGGGAGACATGGTACTCGGGGTACAGTCATGGGTATTTGAACGGCTTGCAGCAATCGACACCATTTTGCTAGTTGAATGTATGTTTTAGTTGTCAGACTAAATCACACAGAAAATCCAGAAATGTTCAATAAATCTTTGTTCTTTGGGTGAAAAGAAGCTGAATGGCACATTCATGGCATATATTACTTATGAAGTACTTCTTAATCAAACAGTAACTAACCACAACTCTAAATAGCAGCTGCTCAAGTTCACATAATAGCTGGATTGGAAAGGATCTCAAGGGGTCATGCAGCCTGTCCCTTAGCCTAAGAAGGGCTCAGCAATAGTAGTGCTGTTCCCGACATATTTTCTCTAAAACCTTTTAAGGAAGAAGACCTGTCAGACACCCAAGGCAGCCTACTCCAATGCTTCTCTGCTCTTACTGAGGCAAATGTTTTCTCACATCTAACTTGAATGTTTTTTGTTGCAACTTAAGCCTGCCTTCTCCCATCTATCACATGCAGTCCAGTGCCTCCCTCCTCAAAATTGCCTTATTTGGGATTTGAATTCATCTACCCTTTTTCTCTTTTTTGTTAGACCAAGCAAACTAAATTAATTTAATCTTTTTTCATAAAGATGCTTTCCTGAGCTCAGATTATTCTTGTTTTGTTCCTCTGACCTCTCTCCAGCATGTCTCCACATTTAG